GGTCAACGCTCTTGTGTGGGTGGGGCTGGGGCGTGTGACTGCACGGTCTGTGGTCACCGCAGTCCAGGGGAGAGATCCTGGAATCGACTGAAATAGGGCACAGCAAAGGCGCCTGTGAAACAGCCCCACACTGTCTGGTTTGGTCGAGGGATTCATTATGACCACTGACCTGCAGGGGGCAGCAGAGCCAGAGAAGACATTAACGCAGGCGGCTGCGGCCCGACCCGCTGGACTTGACCCACTGGCTGGTGGACAAAGAGGGCTCTGGTGGCTCTAATGCCCGGGGTTCTCCACGCCCTCTCGGGCTCCCAGGGGCGCCCCCCGACAGCCACAGCCGCAATTCCCTCCTCTGATGGAGGCCTCTCCCCACCCAGGGGCAAACCAGCTGGCTGGGCAAAGGCCCAGGAGCCCCAAAACGCCCTGTAAGCTCCAAGACCATAAGCTGGATCCAAACTACTGAGACAGCAGCCCACATCCACCACTTCCAGGTTGTTGACCTTGGACAAGTTACTTCCCTGCTTCCTCATCCATCAAATGGGAACAGTGATCTACCGACCTCTTGGGGTTGTTGAGAAGATTAAATGAGTTAATAGATGAGTCACTAACAACAGTGGCTGGCACAGAATGAGTGCTTTATAAATGCTTGCTGCCGTTTCTGCCACATGTAACCTCCAAACCACTTTTGGAAAATGTGGGATTCTGAGTAGAATGTTCTTTCATAAATTAATTTGCATTTGAATCGGATTTAGATTATTAGATATTTCAAAATAATAACATCTAACAGGTGCTTTGAATTGATAATTTGTGTTGGACTAATAAGATTTTCTCTGTGGGTATAAACACCCATATACAGAGCATGTTTCCAATTTTCAAAACGCTAGATATAATAAGGTATCTTTAATGCTAAGCCACATTAGACATAATGTTTCTTGAAGATTCCATAAACACCCATATACAGAGCATGTTTCCAATTTTCAAAACTCTAGATATAATAAGGTATCTTTAATGCTAAGCCACATTAGACATAATGTTTCTTGAAGATTCAGATCTGCAGTGAATTGCAGATATTACTGTATTAGAGATATGGAGACAGGCTGGTTCACAGAGCTCTCTTGGAGGCAGGAAACGGTATTGATCTGTGTTCGCTGCAGCACTTTTGTTCATTCACCGGTTTTGTTTTCCATGCGCTGTTGCCTACTCAGGGAGCCCCAAATGGCACCCGCCACCTGGTCACTGGTGGCCTGAGCTGCTTTTAGATCATGGACAATCCTAAGAGACATACTAATGTAAGAAGGGAGGGCTGACCTAACAGACGCAAGTAGGAGGTGCTCAGTAAGGGCTAACTCTCCTCCCTACCTCTCCAACCTCTCCCTGCATTTCTAATCTAAACTTCATCAAGTGAGATTTTCTGAAATTCTAAGTGAACTGAAACTACTCTATTTTCTCACAGGGAACAGGCCGAGGGAGGAGAGGTAGCGAAGATTTATTTATTGGTGGCTTCCACCGCTTTTCCTTTCAATGCTCAAGTTGTTCTCTCACAACTCATTCATCCTTTTTTCTTCTGTCTTTCCCTAGGGTCTCTGCTAGACGTTAGTGTACTTTTTTGTAAAGTAGAAAAAGGCTCCTCCCAAAACAGCACCTTTTCCAGTCTGAGATACTTAAAAGGGGATCCACTCTGAGCCCCCACTTGCCCCGTTTGAAATATACAGAATGCACAGCAATCACAGCAGCCTGTGTCACCCAGTGCTGCCCGAAGGCAGAAGCCAATGAGGATGGCCAGGAGCTGGGTGGTGAGCCAGCAGCCTGCTGGTGAAGACAGAGCCCACTTGCATGGCCAGAGCAGCCCCTGGGGCTGAGAAAGGTCCGGAGCCAAACTCTCCTGCCTTCCCTCCACAGAAGCTGTCACACATCTGGTTCCACCATATTTGGCAGGGAGACAGAGATTCCTTCTTTTTCCCCAAAGAACTTTCCACAGATCTTTGGAATCTTGCATTTAAATCACAGTGTGAGTGTGAGGTTGTGATCCAAAACCACTAAGCAGTGACTCAGGTTTTCTGGAGGAATAATTTTTCTCAACGACTGCTGAGTTTACTTTTGGTGAAGTCCAGTGGCTTTGCCTGGGAGATATATAAAACTCTTGAGACAACCTACCAACCCCAGCAAACTGTCAGAATCCAATTAGTAAATAAACCCCATTGTTATTTAAGGAAAAACCACTACCCTTGCTCTGCCCCCTTTCCCTGGTACCTGTTGCCTCCCCAGGTTGCCCTACTGTTAATTTCAACCACAGCCACGTACCTGACTAACAAATGCTTCGCTTCTCAATTCATCTGTAAAACTACCTTTTTCCCATCATCATGAGTGCTGATATTTCTTAAAACTCAAAGCTCCAGGGCAAAACTGATTCCCAGATGTCACTAGTAAACTGGGAATCATGGCAGTGGGGATCACGGAAGGACCAGAAGCACCAAAAAACCTGGCCTTCCCCTTGGGGGAAAGGGTAGCATATTTATGCTGTTATCAGGTCCTTTACCAACCAGAAGTGCCCAGAAGCAGGCATTTCTGGTTCCGAATACGTACTCAACCTAATAATTGCCATGGGTGCTAAAGTTACTTGGACTAGATCTAGGGTATGCACAAAGTTTGTTTCCATGTTGCAGTTTACCCTTGCCATAGAAAAGTAGCTGGGAGTGCGGGGAGGGAGGCATTAGAAATCTCAGCATAAGAGTGTATATCACTCAGCTCTTTTACTTGGCATAGATCTAAGAAGAAAACCCAAGGATGTCATGAAGGTCATTCTTCAATCTTAGTGAGTTTATGAATTACCTGGAGAGGGTGATAAAAATGTACTGCTCAGGCTACAAGGGATTCTGACTCAACAAGCGGGGCCCAGGAATCTACAGTAGAAATTAAACATCAGGGTGCATGAACCATACTTTGAGACAGAATGCTCTAGAACATGACTAACCCACTCACATTCACAGCAACTTATATGAACAAAACATTTACAAGACTAAAAGTTGGCAGATCCTCACAAGAAGGGTAGAGAGGCACTGTGGTATATATAAGGTGAATTAACTTTGTAAAAGACTGCATTGACTCACAATTCAAACATCAGTTGATAAAAATTGAAAGTGTACAGCCAAGCACCCAGATGTGCTGTCTGTGAACAGATAGAATTTAACTAGGAGTTGATTTGTTTTTCTCTTTTCACCCAGATGTTCAGTTTTATGTGAAGGAGTAACCCAGTGCCCGTGGACGGAAGAGTATTCAATCCCCTTGAATTCTGTATGCTGTGGCACAATGGTCTTTGAGAACTGAGGCACAATGTAAGAGGTTTTGCCACTTTAACCAACGTGGACGGAAGAGTATTCAATCCCCTTGAATTCTGTGCGCTGTGGCACAATGGTCTTTGAGAACTGAGGCACAATGTAAGAGGTTTTGCCACTTTAACCAGAAGGGGGCTCAGCCATCAGGACTGCAGAGGGAGCAAAGCTGAATGCTGGAGGACACAGGATCTTAACCGATTTCTCATAGCTGACCCCTGACCACACTTACCCCACAAACATTTCTTCAGAAGATTATACTGAGGGTCAAACATACCTGAAATAGCCCACGAATAAACTGCTTTACAGATAATTCCATTCTGCTAACCATCGCAGAATGGAGTTGATGATTGATGATTTGCAGGAAAATCAAGCATGAAGACCCCGTATCAGCAAAGTTCAATCTGGGTGGTTCAACCTGAAGAAGTAACATCTGAGGACAGACTTTGTAGCACCCTGGCACATGATCATTGCTGCTTGAAGTGAACATGCCTTTTAAAATACATTTGTCCTAGGTAGGGCCAGATGTTAGCGTATCACTACCACCTAAAGTGTCCTGGACATGTGTCCTCAGAATCAGAGGGCAAATGATTCTCCGCTCCAGTCCCTCACTTTCTTCCACATATAAACACTGATGTTTTCATAGAACCTTAATCCCTGGTATGTTACTATGTCAATTAAATGCATATTAGTTTAACCAATGTAAGGAGTCTTCCCCCTCAAAGATTCTCTTTCCAAAAATGCCTGATGGAAATAAAAATAAGAAGGTATTTTGTTTTAAATACAGTCATCCCTTGGTTGGTTCCAGGCCCACCCCCCCTTGGGATATATAAGGGACACTAAAGTCGATCCCTTTGAGACTTCTTGCACTGGGAGCTCTCTCCGCATCCTTGTCATGTAGAGGCTTTTATTTATTTGCTTATTTACTTTCCCTTCCACTTTCCTAAGATTATTGTCTGACCTAAGCAGTCATCTTACCTTTCGAGCACTTTGAAGCATGGAAACAGTAAGTCAGAGAGTGCTGGTGGGCACCACTGAATGTTACTGTTTGAAAATTCTCTCTCAAAAACACCTGAGCAAGAAGTTTGTCATATACAGCACCCTCAAAAATGGTTTTAAAATGGAGAAAGCCCCGTTTCAATGTTTTGTCTCAAACCAGAATGGAGAATGAGGGAAGTCACATCTATATTCTGAATGCACAGCTGCTGACCTCACCTAACAGGAGCAATAGCTCTCATTTATTGAGTACTGTGTCTGTTAGGTACCATGCTAAGCGCTTGCCTTCCTTCCCACACACAACTGTACGTTGTTGGTAGTTTTTCATTTTTATTCTGTTTTTAATGGAGTCTTCATTATAGTCCCTGCTTATCTTGGACTCATGGGTAGGTAACTTGGACAGTAATATAAAATACACATTCTTTTACACATAGTAGGCACTCATTAAGTATTTGTAGAAGAAATGAATGGATGAAGGGAATGAATAAACTCTACTCTTGAACAAATTATTTGTCTTTCTGAATGCAGCCCTAAAACTGCTATTCATATTTGTCAAAGAATGTCTCCTTTAACTAATACCTTGATTCCTGATGCATGTATCAGTAAATAGCTTTTAGTAAGTTTCTATTTTTAGAGCTCTTTCCACAAGCAGAAATGACATAAACCAAGATCATCTCCTTAGTTTATTTTTTTCTAGAGTCCTTAGCATGCTACATTAACCTGACAGAGCTTAATCTTGTGTTCATTTCACAATACATTTCATGCAGTTCACAGCCATGATTGGTTTTACACTGACATTACACATGTTTCGATTCAGCCATGTGAAAAGAATAATTCTTAATGGAGTTTGTCTCTGAAAACTGTCCAAGCTTAAATAAGCATGTGAGCAGTTCACTCTATTCTTAAGTGCAGTCTCTCTTTAAAATGCAAGAAGGCTTTTTAGCATAAGAATATAATGTCCCTGTTTTATAGTCCATTTGCAACCAAACCACTTCCTTTAGGTTTCACATATCCTGAGGAATCCTCTTTTACAAAACTGCATTCAAGTATACTATTTTATTTAACATTCCAGGTTGAGTTTAGGAGCAAGGCTGACTTCAGCTTTACATCCCAAATAAATCTCCCATGGACCCAGCCTTCCCAAGACTATTCTTAGCATTAGACTCTCTCTTACAATAAACATTCAGCACTAAAGCCACAGAGCAGAGCTATTTGGCATTTTCCAGTGAAGTGCAAGAAGTTAAATAAGTTATGTTTTTATTGCTAATGTATAGAATCAAGCACAGTCACTTTGTCAAACAGAAGGAAAGGGTATACACAAGATGTGGCCTCTCCTCATGTGCCCCAGGGTTCAAATACACAGAAAATGTCACCTGATCACCACCCAGCTGGTACCACCTTAAGATGATGTGTTGAGGATTCTAGAGTCTGAGGAGTCAGACCTCTCGTCATAGTCATCCTCGGTGTAAATGGACTGCTTTGACACAATGGGACACCCATCCTCGGGGATAGAGATCCGAGGGTCTTCCGTGGTACGGGTGGGGAGGACAGGTGAGCTTCTGAAGACGCTGGTAGAGTTACTGGAGAAAGGACTCACATACTGGGACCTCAGCTGGTATTGCTGCTGCAGCGTCATCGTGTTCCACAGGGTGACATCATTGGGCAAAAAGGGGCTCGACTGGTTTCTCGCCAAAGTATTCCTCAGCATCAGCGGGTACCGGGGTGGCTGGGGGAACGGGTGCTGCAGAGGCACAGCCAAGGGGTTGGGGACAACATTACTAGAGTCAGCAGAAAACCTCAACGTGTCTGGGACTCGAAAGGCCGATCCCACTGACCATTTGGACGAGGAGATGGGGTAGGAGCTCAAGGTGTGTTCAAAGATGTGCCCGTTGGAGGGCAGCACGAGACCCTCGGGTTCTGCTGCAGTTCTCTCTGCTCCCGGGACAGACGACCGGCTGGACAGAAGGACTTCCACGGCGCTCACCAGGTCTCCCCCACAGCCCTTCAGGATGAGCTCAAGCACTGTCGGCTTCTGGTTGGGGAATATTTTTTTTAGCACTTCGAGTGGAGGTCTGTTGGCTTTCAAGCTGAAGGGCAGAGAAACAGTCCCGGACGGGCCCTCAATCAGGAGGTGATTCTGCTCCGCGTGGTACTTGGGGCTGTCGGGGCGGCTCTCGGGGTTGCCTCCGTTTTTCTGGACAGTGTACCCCCCTTCATCCACAGACACTATCTCAGGGCTCTCAGGGGTGAAGCAGCTCTTACTCTTTGCCACATCTGGGGAACTCCTCTGGTCAGTGTCTTTGTCGCTGAAGGCCTCTGTATTGTCTGCCGAGTTGCCGTCCCCAAGTCGTTCTTCATTCAAATCTGAAAGGCAGAGAACAGCTGGGTTAATCCTTTCCCGGTGTGCATAAAGAGGAACACATGTGCTCAGAAGAGAGCATGGACTTTTTGGAAGAGGAAATGCACTTCAGTGGATTATAACATTCTGCAAGCCTTAAAAAAAATCCAAACTATGTCACTGGCAAATGGCAAAACTAAACCAAACAAAAATCGGTAACCTGTAAATAAAGACCTAGAAATTAGAGTGATTTCTCAGAATGCTGTACACAAAGAAGCTTGCCTTAAACACATAATGGCTACATGATCCTATAACCACAGAAGACGTGGCTGTCATAGCAGTAACAATCTAAATAGGGAGCCTCTGTGGGGCTGGGGAGAAACGCAGAAAAAGCACAGCCCAGGGACAAACAGGAAAATGAGCTCAGGTTGTCTTCCATCTCCTCTTATGCAGATGAGGCACCCAGTTCCAACCTAGGGACATTGTCAGCTAGTGCACGACCAATATACCCACACCTCTGTGGGGCTGGGGAGAAACGCAGAAAAAGCACAGCCCAGGGACAAACAGGAAAATGAGCTCAGGTTGTCTTCCATCTCCTCTTATGCCGATGAGGCACCCAGTTCCAACCTAGGGACATTGTCAGCTAGTGCACGACCAATATACCCACAAGGAATCTTAATATTTTAAACCTATCTTCCCAAAGGCTGACTTTGTGTTAGATATGTCTTACGAACCAGTCAGTATGTTTCATCAGGTTGCTATGTACAATAACTAGGTAATATAATTGCCAGAAATTGAAAGAAAGACACGTCTATACATTGAAATATTTCGTAAAAAGCCACTCGAGGGACTGGCAAACTTAGTTGCCTGTAGGATGCACTAGAGGGCAAGCAAAACCAGCTGTGAATTCTGGATGGTGGGACAAGTCATTGAAGAGGAAAAGGAAATGGCTGGAAAGCGTTTGTGAAATTGCACAGAGAGTGCTATCTGTCAATAAAATAATACACCCACAACTCCAGGGCCAAGGGTAGCCAAGTGGTGGATACATTTGCATGAACTGTTTTATTAGTAAAGTTCATGGAAAGGACTTAAAGATATCTTTTTTAATTATATTTTTTAAAATAAGAAGAAAAGCTTCCCAAATAAAGCAGAGACTTGCTATGAAGCAAATCAGTTGCAGAGGTGACATTCTGACTTATGAACATTTTGACCTATTACCCGCAGAAGGGCTACTACTGCAGTGTTCAGCAAGTAGAAAGGAGTAGGTAAGAGTGGTTTGTTTTGCAGTAGCAAATTCTAACAGATCTTTATAATAAAGGAACATGTTTTTTTTATTAGCAAGCTATATGCAAATGGATTTTTATCCTTTCTAAAAACATGTATTGTGGCTGTGGCTACTCAAAGCCAGGGTAACTGATCTAAAGATGAAAATTCTTAATGACCCAATTGTCAGGTTGCAAACAATTGATCTTCCTGTGTTTTCTACTGCCCTGCCTGAATGGCTTCATTGTCACCTTCTCCGTGAGCATACCTGATTATGTGCAGATAGCCCGCCTGTGAAATTTCAGTAAGGCAGCTTCTAGAAACCACTCCTCCTATTTGTTGTTTATTATAAAAGCCTTAAACAAAGGCCCATTTATGAATATTCTTCTAATATGGGATGTATCTTAAGTACTTGAAAAACAAAACTTTGGTTCTTCACATAGCAATAAATATGTGCCAAGAATAAATAATACATTTAAAAATACTCCTAAAGTATATCAGTGCAACTTTCAATCATAAATCTGATAAGAACTCATACTTATCCCAAATTTGCCTTTTAATCAAACTGCTTCTTTTTTCTGATACAAAATATTAGGTTTCTAATGTGAGGTTCATTTGCAGCCCACATATAGGAATCCATCATTGCTTTCTATGATTCTGGGATTCACAAAGACCTATTTTTGTGAGAGAAATTTGACATATTCTCTCCAACAACTTCCTAGGATGGGAGACCCAGCTTTTACTTCCCAACTTATCGTGGTATTTGAATTCCATGTCCTTGACCCAAAAGAGAAAAACAGCAACGAAAAAGCTTCTATAGATTCATAGTTGGACAACTGTGAATATATATATAGGTGGGAAAATAAGACCCATGTACAGGGGGAAAAGCCAACATGGCTAGGCAGGATTTGCTGAGCATCAGACATGACACACATGGTACAACAATATTCACTATTCATAATAGCCAAAAGGTGGAAGCAACCCAAATGTCCATCAACAGATGAATGGATGAACAAAAGATGGTATATACATACAGTAGTATATTATTCAGCCTCAAAAACGAATGAAATTCTAGTACATGCTACAACATGGGTGAACCTTGAAAGTATTTTGCTAAGTGAAATAAGCCAGACACAATAGGACAACTATTGTATGATTCCTCTTATGTGCAATATCTAGAGTGGGTAAATTCATAGAGACAGAAAGTAGACCGGTGATTACTGGAGATGGGGGAAGAGGAAATGGTGAGTTATTGTTTAGTGGGTATGAAATTTCAGTTTTGGGAGATGAAAAAGTTCTGGAAACAGATAGTGATGGATACACAATATTGTGAACGTACTTTACTATCACTGAAATGTGCACCTAAAATGGTTAAAATGGTAACTTTTATGGTATGTATATTTTGCCACAATAAAAAAAGAAAAATATGACACACACTATCACAGCAATATAGGGGATGGTGTGTTTTTTCTTAAGATCAACAACTTGTCCTTCCTGGGCGTAGAGGATACACAAGCACAGCTAGGAAGCTCAAAACTGAGTTATTTTAAAAGAAAGGTGTAACCCTAAAAATGTCTTCATGTTTTAAAAGGTAAAATTATCCATCTTGGATGAGTTTCAAACGCTGAAAACACTGCAGGAATAATTTTTGAGGTCTATCAACCAAATTTACTATTCTTCAGCACACTTCAGGCTCAGAAAAAAGTGATTCAAAGAGCAGAAGTTTAGTGAAAGTGGAAGGAGAATTAGAGGATGATGTTCTGACTAACCTAACATATCTAGCTTTACAAAAATGTAGTATTTTTTTTTTCAAAGGAGCAGCAGAAATACTCTCCCAATCAACTGGATACAAGATGCAGGATTATATGTCTGACAATACAAAATTTCATTTTTGTGCCTATTTTCCTAAGTTCTACAGAACAGACCACAGTGGAATCTTATATGCATCCTCAGCAATTGTGAGCCCCCATACTGCGAAAGCCACCTCCTCATTTTGTTGTACTACTCTTTGCCCCCACTACTGGGACATGTCAATGCACTATGCACATCTGGTTACTTTTCAAGGAGTAATGATGGATTGTGCTGAATCATCCACCCTCTCACCATAGGTTTCTGGGCTGATCAGCCTATACAACTGGGTGTCCAGGCTATGGCCAAAAAGTGAGAAAAGCTACCAAGATGTCACAAGAATCAAATCTTCAAATCAGGGCATTCCAACCAACTGAATTCAGTACTGTTTATACTGTATTCAAAGGGAAGACAGAAGACAATCAAAGAAGCAATGAGCAGGACACACCTATGGTGTTCATGCATCTAAGCGGCACAGAAAGTCCTATTAAGAGGTGTTGGGTGAGCAGAATCCTCATCAACATCAAAGGCTGCTGGGGTTTCAAATTGGGCAAAGGAAGAATAGCCTTGCACTGAAACTAAATTCTCACCCACCAATAATTTCTGAAGAGCAGAACATATAGTCCCTGAAATTCTGTAGCACTATGGTGTCCAGTACTGGTTGCATTATAAACTAAATGTATTGGTAAAGTATTCTACTATAAATACAGACTTTCACAAGTAATTATAGAGGGTGAGTTTTTGAGCCCAGTGTTAAAGTGTAATTTAATAGCAGGTGTTTCTTTACATCTCCAGATTTTTTTTCCTAAATAAACTTTACAAATCGTTCAAGTTGGTTTAAAACACAAAGGCCTTTCTAGATATAGAAATGTGAAACTGCCAACTAATGAAATGAAACAGGAAATACTCATAAAATACTTTACCTGCTTTCTTCTTGAAACTGAGACCCTAATTCCTATAACATAAAGAGTAAGAGTATATTTCAACAGATAGTATTTTTACCCCTAGTATATGGATTCAGAAAGTCAAAACTATTAGTCAAAAAGGGGAAAGAAATCAATTTTATCTGATACTACAAACCAGTTATTAAAAGTGATGGAATCTGCTGTTTCTAATGCTAAACATCTAGATATTTTTAAAATCTTACTAAATGTTCAGTCTTTAATTTCATATTTCATGAGGTGGGAACACTCATAGCCATTCCTGAAATAAACACTTTGCTACAGTAAAAGATTTTAAAAGCAGACATTCAATTAAGAAGGAAATTTTTTCTATGAATAACAATGCTACCACTTCAAAATATATACACCATAAGACGGCTACAAGACATTTTTTTTTTTTTGCTACAAGACTTTTAACTAAGGAGAAATAAAATGAACATACACAAAAATTACTTCCAATCTAAAATTATATTTTGCAAAATCTAACTTACTTCCAATCTAAAATTATATTTTGCAAAATCTAACTTCCTTTAGAGAACTTTTTCACACGAAAATGTAGTTCAGTAAAAAAGCTTCTATGTACTCATTTCAAATATTTGAGAAAGCCCACCACATATGTGAAATAAACATTCTGCTCAAGACACTTAAAAATGAAAAATCTTTCTGACTTAGATGTTGTGTCCCATTCTATCAATTATATCTACAAAACAAAACATACCTAACATTAAGAATGAAAACACGAAAACATTGGCATGGAAAGAAATGTTTCCTAGCTCAAAAATCACTGTACTCCCCCTTTCTTTTGAAGTCATGTCATGCATTTTTGATTGTCATGCCCCCATCTGTTCACTTGAGCTTTGGGGAACACACCTCTAAATAACAGGTCCTTGATGGGTAGTTTTCAAAGCACACAAATCGTATAGCAGTGGCGGGGAGGAAGCCTAGGCAGGGTGGGGCTTCCAGAAGAGACCATTGCCCAGTCAGAATTCTAACAGGAGACAAGTTTTTTATATTTTCTG